CGCTGCCAAAATCTGGCATATGGTGCCCCACTGGGGATGAATATCAACAGCAGGGGCAAGTGATAGCTGCCTTAAATGCCTCCACTGCTCACCCTGCCACTACTGCCTCGTCTAGGTTCAGCCAACAAGGAGTCCCATGGGCTGGATCTAGGCTGGGGAGTTTAACATCCTTGCTCTACATGCATTTACACAGGTTACTTCACTTCCATTCTAGGTCTTTGAAGCAGTGTTGTCAATGTTCTAGTTCCCTAGTAGATTTTCCACATTATAGTGTCTGGTCATTTTTATTTGTCTTTATTCAAAGGAAATAGGAAAGTAACAACAATGATTACCCCTATTCTCCTCTCATACCAGTTGTGCTCCTGTACTGCTCCCCTGTTGTAAGGGGAGATGCAAGCCAATTAATTCATCAGCAGTCCTTCACAGTCAAAGATGACTGTCTTTCATGATGACTTTATCAGATGGCTGATGAGGCTGATCCGGGATCAATAGACTCTACTGCAGCTTGGATGTGTGTTTCTGTATGGGGTGGGTGGCTCTGGATTCAGCCTGTAACACACTGTTTCTGCCACTCCCACTTTTCCATCTCCTGTCATTGTTGTAAGATTTCGAAGTACTGAGATCCTTGCAGCAGATTTTTGCTTCATTTGGGGCGGTTCTGGGTGATAATCTCCCATGGGTTGATATCAAAGTTACATTTTTTCAAGTTGGCCTTACGGATGTCCTTGAAGCGCTTTCTCTGCCTTTCTCTTCAGTGTATGCCTTGACTGAGCTGGAAGAATAAAACTTGCTCCAGGAGTCTGGAGTTGGACATCTGGATGATGTGGCTGGCCCAGTGAAGTCATGATGTCAGATGATCATCGCCTTGATGCTTGTGGTGTTTGCTTTTGAGAGGATGCTAATGTTGGTGCGTCTGTCTTCCCTCTAGGTTTGAAGGATCTTCCTCAGGCAGCATTGATGCTACTTCTCCAGAGATTCGAGCTGTCTTCTGTGCATTGTTCATGTCTTAGCTCCATACAGTAAAGTGGGGATCACAAATGCCTGATAAACCATGAGCTTGGTTTTGGATCTGATATCATGATCTTCAAACACCCATTTCCTCAGGTGTCCAGAGGCAGCACTTGCACTTTTAAGGCAATGTTGGATATCTTCATTGATGGCAGTTTTCTGCAAGAGAGGGTTTCTGAGGTATGGAAAATACTCAGTGTTCTCCAGAGTCTCCATGAATCTGACTTACCAGAGCTGGGAACTGGTCATTAAGAGCTTGTTGATGGAGGACCCTAGTCTTCTGAATGTTAAGCGTCAGTCCCATTTTATCGTATGCCTTGGTAAAGACATTGATGATTGCCTGAAGCTCTGCTTCTGAGTGAGCACACACTACAGTATCATCAGCATACAGGAGCTTGATTGAGGTCAGAGTGGTCTTGGTTTTGGCTTGGAGTTAGCTGAGATTAAACAGTTTACCACCCATTCAGTAGTTTAGCTCCACTCCAACTAGAAGCTTGTTGGTATTCAGATGTAGCATCACAGTAAGGAATATTGAGAAGAGTTTTATAACTTCCTTGAGTGAAGAGAAACCCAACGCTTGCTCGCACTTCACAAAGGTTTCTATAGAGGAACACATACAATCCCAGTGTGGGCTCTTTCCTCCCCCCACGTCTGACATTTAAGAGATGTTTACCTTTCTGTTTTATTCTGAAACTGTTGCTCTGTGAAGTGATAACTGCCAGAGGTTTCTGAATGTTTGGCACATTTGCACAGAGAGCTGTGATTACTGAATCATTATCATTTAGCTTCAGGCCCAGTACATTTCTGTATGCTGGAGGATGGCTTCATTTCCCTCCCCCCCACCCCCCCTCGCATTTGCTAATTATTAGTTGTCTGGAAAAGGGAGAGAACTGAAAGGGAAATATTTAGCAATGAGAGAGCATGGCTGAAGTGATTACAATCTCATACTGTACAAAATCATTCTCCAAAGCTCTGTAGAATGTAGTCAAACAAAAGCTGCGTGCCAGATACTGAACCACAGCTGGGTGGGAAGAGTGAGCAACCCTTTGCAGCTACTTCTTTGTCAATACTTTGGAAATGTTACTAATGGGTGGTGGGGAAACTTTGTCTGGTCCTCACTGGCTTCAGAAATAGTCACCATGGAATTAAAAAAAAAAGTGATCAGATTTAGCATAATTCTGTTCTCCTTATAAATTTTTCATTGGTTGGAAAGGGAGCAGAGTTAGGCCAAGAGTACACATTTCTGATAGTGTGATGCAGGAATCCTTAGGCTGAGAACAGAAGCAAGTTAACGAGGCCAGAGGAGAATTAACTTTAAGGTCTGACTGGGGCTCAAGGCTTTCCCCCTGCAGTGAGAGCTGGGAGACAACGCTGACAGACAGAATGACAAGTTACTTAGAATACTGTATAGGAAATGAAACAGCTGATATTTCCAGGTAAAACAACTCCTTACAGTTCATGGCTTATTTTCCAGGTAAAATAACTCCTTACACTTCAGGGGTGATACAGCAAAAGCAAACAAAACTGAATGTTTTTCTTTCCAATTTCCCAGCAAAACAGTGGTCTCCTTTCTTGACTCCTGCTCAGCTGTAGCTGCCTGAACTGTCTACTTATGTCCCAAGTGCTTCAGATGGAGCAAAAGAAATTAAAAGAAAAAACACCAAAGGGATGATTCTCTTTCTGCTTAAGGGAAAACTTGAAAAAGACACCATAGTATAGTGATTTAGGAGGAAAGGGAAAGTGAATGATAGCTAGTGCTGTTCAGATTTCTCCCTGCTCTTATATGCACACATGCACGCAGAAAAATGCCTAGAGGTGGAGAAATTAAAAATGAAAGAGGAATTCTTAGGCTCTCCCAAGGAGGGAAGAAATGAAAATCTCAAAGTACTCTATGAGGTACATTGGTGCTGTTCAATTCCACAGATGGAGAAACTGAGGCACAGAGCTGAACAGACTTTTTCCTGGTCACAGAGGGAACAGATGACAAATGACAGAACAGATTTCTGTGGCACCTCTGTTCGTGGAACCCAGCTGTCCTTTTGGGAAAGGTAAGCCAGCCCCACCACACCCATCACTAAAGACAATGCTGTGGACATGGCCAGCTCTGTTTCTGTGTAGGTATGGTTAGGGCAGACCACAGATACTGTTCTTGCCAGTGCCCTGGTCAGGAGTCAGGCATGAACGACACGTGCCCCCAGTGGCTGGGGAGCATGGCGGCGGGAGTGCGGCAGCGGGAGCTCCTGCAAATGCTGCCGGCACTGTTGGCAGCAGGGACGGGGAGCGGGGTGGTGAGCACCGACCAGGGGTAGCGACTGCCCACTGACCACCTGCAGATGCCACTGGCGGTGTTGGCAGCGAGGGGGGGAGTGGCAAGCAGCGACCACCCACAGGCACCACTGACAGTGTTGGCAGCACCTTTTCATAGAGGGCGCACCGCCACACTGAGGGAGTGTACGTGCACCCACTACATGTTGCCCTTGGAGTCAGGAATGCGCTGGATGGCTCAGCCTTCACTGTTGGCCGTCACCAACCTTATACTGACACTGTTCTTTTTGGGATCAGCATTTTCAAGAGTTTCTGAGAAAACAAACTGACACAAACAACAATCATGAACTTTCCTCTAAAATGGCCCTGCTGCTTTTTCATGACATAACATTGACAGACAGACATTTATTTCTATATATAAAAGATAAAAATAGCTAATCTTACAGAACACAGAAAAGTAACATGAGTCAAATTAAAGGCCATGTCATCTACTTAGATTCGTGCACTACTCCTGAAGTTACTTTAAGGGCCTGGAGACATGATACACTTACTCTAGTGTAATCAGCCTTTATAATGGTGTAAAAAAAAAAAAAAAAAAGGAATAGACAGAGTGCTAAATCCTTACACTGGAGAAAAATTTTGACCAATCTGATCTAGAATTACCCATGAAATAGTAAGGTGTAGAACTACAGTGGTCTATAGTGGACAACAGTCACCAGGGTATAGATATGTGGCTGTTACTGTTCCCTTGACAGGTAGTGGCATGCTCTTGTGATACACCTACTGCAGCATCCTGGGAAAGCTGCTTCTTGCCTGCCCTCTATTGATCCTGCTGTAATTTAGACTGGTGTATAAAAACAAAACAAGTGACACCAGGATAAATATGTGTGATCTTCCCAAAATCACTTAGGCTAAGTACAGACAGTCAAGAAGCCCAAGGCCAAATCAATTCAATCTTCACAGATTAGTCTAATCTGCATAGATAGAACCAATAAGTAAGTGAACAGACATGCACTTTTGATTCCAGAAATGCAGCCACATGCCTGCACTGGCCCAGACCAGAAGCTGGGGAGCACTAGAGCATGCCTCCCTGTTCACCTGGACTAGACAGTTTGGGCCAAAGCTAGGCCACCCACCCTGTGATGTGGGGTGTGCTGGATGATTCAAAGCATCCTGGTATGCTGGGGGACTGTGAGTTAACTTGGATCTGGAGGGGATTTGGGACAGAAGTTCAATAAACCAAATTACCCTAAATTAGTTAAGTCTGATGCTATATCGATCCAGGTTTATCTTGAACCAGTTTTGGCCATTTTGAAAGCAGTTTATATACACTGAACTTCTGTTGTGTTAGCAATTTGATTCAGTTTCTGATCACTTATACTGGTTTATGTATAATTTCTGTCCCTAGCCTTAATGCAACTGAGACTAAAACCTGGCCCAGTAATTTCATATGGTGATTGGCAGACTTGGGGAAAGCACATGAGATATATAACCTTTTATTTCTAGCTTATCATTTTAAAAATCAGATTTATGTTGGCAAAGACCCAAAGGATGACATTTTAGCTCCACTGAAGTCCATGCTTATTTTATCATGACTTTAGCAGGGGCCAGGAATTCACCTGAGCTCTTTAATATCTGACGATAATTCATGGGCTATCCCATGTTATAGTTGGCTCTAACTGGCAGTCTTACTGACAGATTTGTCAAAAATTAACTAACTAGGCCTGGAGAAGGAACTCTATCCTGCTGCCCCAGTCTCTCCAAACAAGGACTAAGGCAAGTTGACAGAAATGCCATGGTAATATTTATACTGCTGTTATGCCTGTTCCTTAGTCGATGGAGGATTTCAGTCACCAAGGGATAACGTTCCCCAAAATTAAGGATATTTTGTTTAACAGAGTTTCTTTTTTCTTTTTCTTTTCTTTTGTTTTAATCTTGGTTTAAAGTATTCTAAGTCAAGACATTTCCAGAACAGAATCCCATTCAAATTTCTCAATAAAATACATTTCAAAAAGTATAATTACAAAACCTTTGTCTCTTCAAGACTGCTCTGGAAGTGCTTGCAGTAGGTTAATGCTCTCCAGATGTACAAATTAACAGCCTTTTATTTATAACATACAACCACTGTCTTTGTACGCTTAGGCAGACATGCTTCCTTGTGAATTAACAGCAGGACTGTCATGTATCACTGAATTTCATTGTGTTTCTTCACAGGGTTAAGATTCTTGGGCTTTTTTTTCTTCTAATTTTTTTCAGGTCAAACGTATTTCACCGGAAAGGTCAGTGTGTGGCAGTGCAGCTGCAGTCTGGGCCTTCCCGACGGGAGGAAGGTAACAAACATTGCTTTTGAAGTGATAAGAAGAGAAAACTACAATTAGGTTTTGCAGCTTTTCTGGTAAATTTGCATTTTAAATTACTTTTCAGTATAATTATGTTTCATCTTTTTTTCCCCCACTTTGACTTCTGTAACTCCATTTCTAAAGCTTGTTATAAAAACCATATAGGACTACATTTAAAAAAATGATAGCAATGTGATTTTTGTTCAAAAATATTCGTTGAGGTTAAGCATTAAAAACAATGGGCTGAAGAGGGACAAAAAATGGGAGATTGTTTTATTGAATTTTTAATTTTTAGTATGGCACTGGGCATTTTCCAAACCCTTCGTCTTGTGTAAGAAGTGAAGGAGTTATATCACGTCACTAACTTTACAAACAAATCCTACCCTAAACTTGGCTGTAGTTTTAGGACTTAATTCCATTCACAATGGGAGTGTTGCCAACGACTTTAATAAGAGGCCAAAGGATCAGGCCTTTGCTGCATTTACTGCTTCCTTCAAATTGAGCCCTATCCTCTTCCCACATGGAGAACTCTCTAATATCTTCCTTTGCCATAATATGGAGGAGTATGATAATAGTTAAGAGACATACCTCTACATGAACTACCCCCTAACACAGATCCACTTCTTTTCTGGATTTCTATATGGAGAACTGTGCAGCAATTCAGGGACTATAGTATGAGCGCTACAAGAGGGCTATGTATAAAGTGCAGGCAGTTTTATTTCATTACCCTCCATATTTATCAAGGCTCCCTGCATATGGCCCATTTACAACTGGCTTTGCATCGTTCTCCACAGTGTAACCACAAATGTAAAACCCAATCTTTTTTCTTGCCTCCCTTAACTTATGCTGCTTTCCTGGATAAATTAACCCAATGTCAGACTGATTTAATGACCATTTCCTCCTTACTCTGTGCATTAAAGTTCATGTGAATCAAATGACAGAATTATCAAAAATGTAATGTAATATGTTTCATTTCTTTGAAATGGCCACTGTCCACTCAGTGAACAAACATGACTGCATTATAAACCAGAATGGGCTGTTCAGGCAGCAAGTAGTTTAGGACCTGATTCTCAAGAGGCACAAAGCACCCCCAGCACCTGCTGTGGTAAATGGAGACTGCTGGTACTCTGAAAATCAGTTCTTAAGTGCTTCAATAAACCGAAAAGCACAACTTGAGCTCTCTAGTTTGTTATGAACACAAGAGAAATACTAACCAAAAGGAAAAAAAATACATACACCAATTTATCATAAACGAATATAGCTACAGTTATCAAGCACCTGAACGGAGACCTGAAGGCTAGATGCATATGTATTATGTTTAATTCTGTCAAACAGTATTTGAATACAAAGTACTGCATTCATTATTGCTTTGCTTTCTTGTCACCTCCCCTGAGCCGTGTCCTCTAGTCAATAAGAACCGTAAGCACGTAATAGGCTAATTTTTTGTAATTGCAGAATTTGAGTCAAGGAAATGATGAGGACTTTTTATTTGAATGTCGCCTCTGAGATGTCGTGTTAATTTTCTCTTTTAATACCCTCATCTGGATGCTAATGCCAACTGATTATTCTGGCGTATGAAGTAAATGTGAGCAGGTCTAAGTAAGGGGCATCCATTTATATTGCATCAGGATGTTGGTCTGTAGATTTATTGACAGACTGGACTGATTGCAATCTGACTGATGCTGCTGTAAATTAAAAGCAACTCCACTAAAGTCAGTGGTCAAGTCGTCAGCTGGTGTAAATGGGCATAATGCTACCAAACTCAGTGTCACTGGAAAGATTTACACGAAATGAGAATCTGACCCCAGGAAGTTAAAGCAATGTAGAATCAGAACACGTAAGAATCAGGCCCACAGCATCTGTATCAAAAGTTTCAGTGGCTCACTGTTCTGGTTTTTTAATGACTATGTTCTGCTCTTTTAAGTGTAGCTTCAAACACTGTTCAACAGGACAGTTGCTCCTTTGCTTATTTTAGGTGGGATTTTGTACCTAATTCAAGGGTAAATGAGGTGCTTTCTTCTTTTCTGCCCTGATGACCCTCAGCAGTTTGTTGATCACACTTTCACCATGCTAACAGAATATCTGAGCAAACAATTAAAAAGAGGGTAAGAAAAAGAAACGATACAATAAATTCTCATGTTTTTAAGCTAGATTAGTAGCATAAGAGACTTCGCATCATTTTGGTTTTGTTGATTAGTGATCCAACCCCAACAGTTCCTTCGTTTGAAAGAGTAAAAGTTGATCATCTGGAGCTACGCAGGTCTGAGAAGATTTTCCCTCACATGGAATATTCTGAGTGAAATTCACTCCCTGCATATAAATAGTTTGTTATAACAGAATTAATCACTAAATATATTCTAAATCCAAATGTTTTCCTTGTCTTATCAACATTGATAGGTGGAGTCCACGTTGTAAAAAGACATCCTTTTGTAAGACTCACCAAAGAAAAATAAGAGAGATTGCAGACAGAACCATATGTCCAAGGTGTCTGTGTAAAGAAATGAAGCAAAAGCTACACAGAAAATTCAAAGGGCATAAAAACTGGCCCTGTGTGAAATTTAGCATACTTCTACAGAAATGAAATTCTGAATCTCCTACCAAGATTCCTGATGAATGTGTTAGAACGTATATTGTAAAATTGAAAAGTAGAAATATCGAAGCAAATGTTTGAAGATCATATAAAGGTGATTCAAATATTTTGGGTAAAATATATATATATAAAAAGTATTGATATATTGATGGCTCAGCCATCACCTCTAAAGCTGCTATGCTCTTGGCTCCATAGCAAAATGCCCTGGCTTAGGATGAATTCTAATAGCAATGAGGCTCCCTGCTGCAGAGGTGGGAGTGGACCATGAACTTCCAGGCTTCTGGCTCTGCCAGAGAAAGCTTAGAAGATATGAGACCCTCCATGGTTTTTAGGCTTCCTACTGAAGAGATAAGAACTAAGCCCCAGAAGAGCCATATTTCTGAGGCTTTCCAAAGCTGCCAGCTTCCTGGCTCTGCAGCAAAGTACATAGGAACCTTGAAAGGCCTCTGAGCTTCCAGGTTTCGTGCTGTGGATCTCTGTCTCTAGAGGTTATTCACCAACTGAACTGGTCTCCCTCTGATCCTGGAGCAGTCTACAGGGCAGGGCTGCCCCAAAGTAGTAAACCCTGGAAGGCCCTGTAGTACCTAACACAGGGCAGTCTGCCTTGAAATTCGGGAAGCCCTGGGGTTCCCAGTACCCTATGACATAAGCAGAGTTCACTTAGCATTGCAGTAGAAGTTCATCAAACCAACACCATTTCATAAGAATGTAAGAAGTGCCATGCGGGGTCAGACCAAGGGTCCATCTAGCCCAGTATCCATCCTATCCCTGATAGTAGCAAGGGCAGATGCTTTAGAAGGAGAGCATTGAACTAAATACATCTAGAGTGATCTATCCTCAATTCAGTACCCTCCCTGACATCCACCATTATGGGTTTAGAGATGTCAGAGGAACACAGTATTCTTTGTATAGAGGCATGCTGATGTTCTCCATTTTGTTTTCAATTCCATTCTTAACAATGCCCAACATTTTATTGGCTCTTTTTTGGTCACTGCAGCATGTTGGGCTGATGTTTTTAGAGATCTACAGTGACTCCAAGGTCTCTTTCCTGAGTCATAACAGCTAGTTCAGATCCAGCTTTGTGTATGTATATTGCATTACTTTGCACTTGTTGAAATTAGAGTTGATCTGCCACTTTGTGCCTACTAACTTAGCTTGGTAGGACCTTTCTGCAGCTTGCTTCTGTCAGCTTGGGATTTGACTACCTGGACTAATTTGGTATCACATGAGAACTTGAAGATTTCACTGTGCACCCCCATTTCCAGATTATTGATGAAAATGTTGAATAAATTTGGGCACAGCACAGATCCATGCAGGATGCTACTTTTGACCTCCCTCCATCTTGAAAAGTGACCCTTTAGCCCTACCCTTTGCTTCCTACCTTTTACCTAGCTGTTAGTCCACAAAAGAACCTTTCCTCTTATCCTATGGCAATGTAGTTTTTTAAAAAAGCCTCTGGTGATGGACTCTGGTTGAAAGCTTTTGTCATATGTGTTAACTGGATCCCCCGTGCCCATATGCTTGTTAACACCCTCAAAGAACTCCAGCAAACTGTTGAGGCAGGATTTCCCTTTACAGAAAACTGTGCTGAGTCTTCACCAGCAAATAATATTCGTCCATGTGACTGCTGATTTTATTCAGTGGTTTTATTTATTCATAAAACAGTTTGGTTTGGATGAGTCAGCTTTTTATTCTTGCTGAAAGGATGTGTAATTCAAAAAAATTGGGACTAGCTTTCTGCCCTGAACACTAAGTAAACTGAAGACTTTGTTAGGTAGCCAAAAATAAAATGGTCCAAATATGCCAGGTCCAATTACTTTAAAACAGCTACAAGAAATTGTCAAAACAGCAGTTTCTAAGTCAGGGATAAAGACAGTCAAGTACAGATGGCATAAGAATCTTGTTAGGACTCCTTTTCCTGAAGGCAGGCTGCTGGCTTGTGTCTTCCTGCCACAACTACTGCTGGCCTGGCTCTCTAGTAGCGGTTACAGCTGGGAGAATCATTCATTTTTTGGTTCAGGATCTGAAACTGGAGGGGGCAGGTACACACAAGTGTGCATACACACAGCTGCACGTGCACACACACACCCTGTATCGGGGTGTGAGGGTGGAAAGCATACCATCTAACCCAAACCAAAATTTAACCTTTTTATGTTTTTTTTAAATTTAGGTCAGTTCCATGAAAAGTGATATTTTAAAACTGATCATCATGCCGTTTTATTTCGAGAATAAAGAAAACATTCAACATATCCAAAATAAAACATTGTTTTAAAAAAATTGTCACTAAATGCTTTGATATTTTTAGAAATCATACTCCCTTCCCTGCCCCTCTCCCCATTTTGCTTTTTTGTTTTGTTTTGTTTTTTAGGCCAAATCTATTGACAAAATTCAGTTTATTTCCTGAATGGCTTTGGTTTCTTCAAAACCCCATTTTTGGGCAAACAGCCCTGCTAGCAACATGGTATTTTTTCCACCCCCTGCTGTGTTTCTATTATTCCCTGCTGCTAAGCTACCTGCTCCTGCCTGGCCTTCCCACCATAGCATGCAACTAGGCTGCTATCTTCACTCCTGCTCCCAGCCAGCTTCTGATTCTCAGGAGAACCTGGTGCCCTCTACCATCAGCTGTATTTCTTTTTCTGGTACAAAGGTATTTATGGAGGCCCCCACTGGCTGAATGCTACCCATTAATGACCTAGTTACTGGTAGATTCATTATACTATTAACCTTTGTAAACTTGGTCCATTTTGGTGGTTAGAACCAGGAAATAAAGATCAGTCTCTAGTCAAGAAATAGGTACTAATGTCTTACTAGTGTTCATCTAGGATGGAATCACCTGGGACTAGGAAACATTTCCAGCTTAAACAGTTTTCCATCTTATAAGGCAGGGGTTCTCAACCCCTGGCTCATGGGCCAGATCTACTCCCTGGCACCCACAAGTCAAAGGGGAACCCCACAGGCCATGGCCCTAAGTGCTAGATCCAGAATACTGGGCAACACAGGGCCCAATCCCTGCACACTGGACCATGCAGAGGAAGTGCAGGGCCCTGATCTCAGTACGTGGGGCTGAGTGAAGACAACCCAGGGCCCTGGGGCCCCAACCCTAGCATGTAAGGCTAGGAAGAGGTGAAGTCTGGATCCAGGTATACAGGCCTGATCCTGGGGCACAGGGTCTGATCTGGGCCATGGCCCAGCCCTGTGTCACTCATTTGGCCTGCGAGACCAAAAGGTTGAATGCCACTGTTGGAAGGGGATCTTCCCAGTCCCCCTGCTCTATGCTTACTCTTTCAGCTCTGCTGTTTCCCAGCCTCTTTGCTCCATGATTTCTCTCTGTGTCAAAGCCTCCCAACCCCGCCTCTCTGCTTCTTGCTCATACTCTGCGCACACACACACAATAGGTAACCTCCTGTGGAGTAGTTTGTAGGGTGACTCTACAAATAGGCCCAAATTTTCTTTCTATTTCTGCATTAGTTTGTCTTATACCAATTAAATATATGTAATTTCCTATAAGGCATGCTTGGACAATAGAAATTTTCCAGCTTGAGCAGGTTCCTGGCTTTTATAGGTGCTATCTTAGACAGGTTTCACTGTATATTGTGTGTGTGTGTATTTATAATATATTACATCACAAGTTTATCTTATGTGGTATTATAACTTTTACGAAAAAGTAACAAAGGCTACATCCACCAAAGGACCTATTTGTCTAAGTCCCACCTAACTCCTCGAGAGCATCTAACATATAAATTATATCTTCAAAACTCCCCCATAACCCTGGAAACAATCTCATGTATGTAAGCAACTAAAATTTTCTTTGGTAAACTCCCCAGGCTCCTAAAGGTTTTCTTCCATAGATGTCCAGAGCTGACAGTGTTGACCAGCTAGATGATTCAGGGTCCACAAATAGGCAAGCTACTGCTGATCTCACTTCCTGGGCCCAGTGTAAAAGGCACTCTCAGGGCTCAGGCTCTGTACAAAACAGAGTTGAAAAAGGAGGTGGTGCTTTTATCCAGAAGTTCTATAGGTAGAGACCTCACACAGAATGAGGGTTTAGTTCCACCCCTTGCTTTTAGGGCAGATATGTCAAACTCGCCCAGTGCCCCCGCTGGATCTGAACCACAGGGTTCCTTCACGGCTTGGATCTGGCCCAGGGCACAAGGAGGTGGTGACAGTGCTGGTGTGCTGATAAGATAAGCATCAGCAGGGCAAGAAAGGGCCCTGCTGCCAATAGCCATGTTCATCAGGCCCCAAATTTTATAGCAGGCCCTGCCCCTCTGTGCAATTTCCAGTAGCCCACCAGGCTGAATAAAACATCTCCATGGGCTAGATCCCTGCTTTAAAACATGGAACAAGCACTGCTTACCTCCCAGGTGCCTACTCCAAGCATTAGGCTGTAGGGTACTCCAGGTTTCAGTGTTCTTCCAGTCCCTCTAGTTGAAGCTGCTTTATTTTCAACTGATTAATTAAATATTCATTTATTTAGCTCCATCCTGGGCAA